GAATGAATGAACTACCAAAAAGCAAATCCCCCATACCATGTGTATGTCAGGCAGGTGAAAGCATTTGAAGGTTGCTCTGTGGACACAGTGATGGCATCACAGATCTCCAATCAATCAATTCAACTGCCCTCCCAGGAACCAGAAGCAAGTTGCTTTTTGGTTGACAATGTTTATTTACCTATCCAGCAAGCAGGGGAGATATGTGGTCTGGTAAGAAATCTAAACCAGACAAGAAAATGTGTATGTTTTAGGGCCTCCAGCTAAACGATATGCTAAGTAAACAGAGAAAAAGACTTGACTTACCCGCACTGCCAAGCTGTTTATAAAACCTGTACTCTAAATGAAGCTGCGGAGCGCGTGATTTTATTGGTTCCTGAAATCCAAGAAGAAAAAATGTGATCAGATTTAGACAAATAGGATTTTTTCATTCCTAGCTTTTCAGAGTAAACAAGGGCTAAGATCATTTAATGTTTTAGAGATGATACTGATATATGATAGCTTTTTCTTACCACAATTTGCTTTAGACAGTACAGCTAAGAGAAGATGAAACTGAATTACACACAACCCCTTCCAGGGATAAATAAAGATAGACTCTGCATGAGCCATCATTTAGGGATAGCTCCTCCACCATAAAATATTCTGAAATGTATTCTCCAAGGAAACCAGATGCCAAACCTTTAAAAAAATTCCAGCATGTATTTCCTGCTTCTTTTATTATGAATTTTGGGTGTTACACCATTTTATTATTAACATTTTAAGAAAAATAATATATGCTCAGAAAAAAAATTCAAATATACCAAAGAAAGTAAAGATAATCTGAGAGTCTACCATTTTAAAGATAGCCACTGTTAACATTTTGGTGAATGTCCTTCCTAGAATTTCCTTCATTTTTTTTTTTGAGACAGTGTAGACAGTGTCTACTTTGTCTACAGTGTCTACTTTGTTGCGCGGCTAGAGTGCAGTAATGTGATCATAGCTCACTGCAACCTCAAACTCCTGGGTTTGAGCGATCCTCTTGCCTCAGCCTTCTGAGCAGCTGGACTACAGGCACGTGCCACCATTCTCAGCTAATTTTTCTATTTTTAGTAGAGACGGGGTCTTGCTCTTGCTCAGGCTCGTCTTAAACTCCTGGCCTCAAGTGATCCTCCCACTTCGGCCTCCCAAAGTGCTAGGATTAGAGGCTGGAGCCACTGAGCCTGGTCTCCTGGAATTTCTTTATTCATATGTTTACATATAATATAGACTCACAAACACAATTTTTATATGACATCATACTATATTTGCTGTTCAGTAATGTGCTTTTAAATTCAACAATGTGATGATAACATCTTCCCGTGGCAGTAAGTGAAGGTGTATAATATTAATTTTAATGGTTGAAGTATGCCCCTGCATGTATACATGTATGTACATGTGTATACGTATGTAAATATGTGTATATACATATGCCCTATAATTTTTGGAAACTTGGATTGTTTTCAGTTTTCAATATTATTATAATACTGTTAGGAACATCTTTATGTATATTTCTTTTTACACTTATGAGAATTAAAGATTGTAAATGCAAATGAAATATGTAACTACAGTCAATGTGGGGTCCAAGTTTCCAAAAATGGAGTTTTCTAAAGACCCCAAAGATAAAGCAGCCAAACAACCACACTTTGCTCTATACCAAACTTCCAGAACTGGCTGGTTAATTACTCCAAATTGACAGTGTACCAGGCAACTAGCTTACAAGACAACCAAACATTACCCTAAAAGATAGGGTTTCCTATGCTTTTTGTGAACAAATGATGGGCAAAAATCACTACAAACTTATTGTGATCTCTCTTTAAAAGCTCAACATCTACATACCCATTAGGATGACTATTATCAAAAACAGAAAATAACTAGTGTTGGCAAGGATGTGGAGAAATTGGAACCCCGTGCATTGCCAGTAGGAATGTAAAATGGTGTGGCTGCTGTGGAAAATGGTATGGCAATTCTTCAAAATATTAAACACAGAATTATTATGATGTAGCAATTCTACTTCTGGGTATATATACTCCAAAGAATTGAAAATGGACTCAAACAGATAAACTTGTACACTCATGTTCATAGCAGCATTATTTACAATAGCTAACAGGTGGAAGCAATCCAAGTGTCCATCAATGGATATATGAATAAACAAAATGTGATATATGCATACAA